AGCTGCTGCTGCTGCAGCTGCTGCTGCTGCAGCTGCTGCTGCTGCAGCTGCTGCTGCTCCAACGAAGGAAACTCCGCACGAGAGCCCCCCGCCGTGCTGCTGCTGCTGCTGCTGCAGCAGCAGCAGCAGCTCAGTCACTGGAGCGTTCGCCTATGAGCCGCAAGAGACTCAAGTAGATGTTGACGAAGTCGACGGAGAGCAGCAGCGCAGCAGCAGCAAAGTCGTCTTCTTCAAAAGAAACAGATCCTCTTTTAATGATGAGTTGCGTGTCAAGAACAAGATAAAAAGAAAAGAGCAGCAAGCTGCATGCGCTGTAGAGCGCATGCAGCCCCGGGAGCAGCAGCAGCAGCAGCAGCAGCAGCAGCAGGTTGAAGCCCAGCAGCGCAGCAACGCCCACGCAAGACGTGAAGTCGTGCTGCGTCTGGCACGCGAAGAGAGACAAAAAGAGAGAGATGCAGCAGCAGCAAAAGAGAGAAATGGAAATATATTTTATTTCGAAAAAACAAGAAATGCTGCCAACTATTAAAGACTCGAAAGCTGTGAACAGCAGCAGCAGCAAATAGTTCTGCGGGAACCGCCGCCGCAGCGAAGAACACAGCAGACTCAGCGAGCACACCAACGCCCCCACTGCGCGCACACCAAACCCTAAACCCTAAACCCTAAACCCTAAACCCTAAACCCTGCACGCACGGCTCCGGCTGAAAGGTGGCTGCGCGGCACGGATTCGGGGCTGCGGCTTCCGCGTCTGGGGACTCGCTTCAAGCTGGGGTTTACTGCTGGCTAGGGTTTGCGGCTAGGGTTTAGGGTTTAGGGTTTAGGGACCTGAGGACAGCAGCACTACTGGCCCGCTGTGCGCCCGCGCCCAAGCAGCAGCTCCAGGGACAAACAGCAGCAGCGAAGTGACAGCAGCAATCAGCAGCAGCTGCGTAGCAACAATTCCGTAGACTTTTCTGCAGCAGCAAACCAACTCAACACATCCAATTCAATTAAATAATTCGCCACAAAAAGGGGGACAAGCAGCAAAAGAAACGAAACAAACAGCAACATTAAACTCCAAAAACCAGCGTCTGCAGCAGCAGCAGCACTGCTGCTGCAGAAACAGCAGCAGCAGCAGCAGAAACTGCAGCAGCAGAAACGGCCGCAGCAGCAGCACAAGCACTGGCGGTTAAGCAAAACAAGGGGAGCTAGTCAGTGGCCCCCCGTTGCAGCGGCCTAGGGTTTAGGGTCTGCGGCCTAGTATTTAGGTTTTAGGGTTTAGGGTTTGAGGCCTAGGGTTTGGGGTTTAGGGTTTAGGGTTTGCGGACCTGATGAAGCCCTGGCGAATCTCCTTGCGGAAGTCCGCCTCTTCGGCCACCGTCTTGCGGCCTCCCTCGAGGCTGTAGTAGTCCACAGAATCTGTCATTTTAAATAAAGTGATTTAAAGAAAAGAAAGAATTTGAAACGGGCCGCTGAGGTGTACAGACACCCGAGCTCCGAAGCGGCGAACACAGAGAGCTGGTAGCGGCTCGCGGTCGAGCTGCGGTGTACGTACACCCCAAAACTGAGCTGCAAACGCGGATTTTTCCTCCTTTTTACCGCCAACTATATAATTAAAGGGATTTTATTTCTTTCTCGAGTCAAAAAGGCGCAAAATGAGGCCTCAGTCGGCGCTGCGGCTGCGGCGGCGGCTGGCGGCCTGCTGGGGTGTACGCACAGGTCGAACTCGAAGTTTTGCGATTTTCTTCTCCGCAAATTAGTCTTTATTTTCAGTTTGTATCCAAATAATGCCAATAAAGAGGCTCTGAGCTGGCTAGCAGCAGCAGCGGCTGGGGGGTGTGG